TAGACTTGAAGAGAGTTAAAATTATATTGATAGGAGAAGCAACCTGTCGCTCTACAAAGTAACGGTTTTTAGGAAGAAGACGTTCGAATGCAAATTCCGATGAAATACAGAAGGAATAGGGATGATTCATCCCACTGTACGTAACATGGCAGATCTTAGCTGTGAAGGTCTGAATTGGTGGAACTAAAGAACGTAGTTCGACAAAGCACTTGTCATGGAAATAGATATAGAATATCAAAAGGTTTGCGACGTGATAAAAGGATTGCAGGGTGGAAAATCGTTCATCAACCACAAGGCCACGTAGACGTTTTTGAAGGCTGGAATGTAAGGACTGGGTAATTCCAACCCAGATATTGCAGCAGCACTTCATCTGTGAACTGATCTGGCTCTTGTAACGATAGAGCATGGTAGGAGCAGTCAGATACATTCTGCAGCGGTACAAAGAACGGGCCATATGATGGATCGTATAGATGTGTTCCACTTTGTCTGGATTAACTTGTGCCCCCAACAGGTATTCCAGACAGAGAGCCTCCTTAACCCTAGAACACGAACCACGGGTATATAGTACCCAACGCAAATTTTTAATTACAATATTCAGTACTTGATTTTCTTACCTAAATAATATGTTTTTCAATTCCTCTTAATGTTAACTCAAAGTTTGAAGTGCCTACATGAAAAATATTTCAAATAAAGATTTATATTTAATATTTTTTTTGGATATCTTCAAAATCGGGTATGATATACCCATGGTTAGTAGGGGTGTAACTTTACTGGATGGTTAGTGTTCTAGGGTTAAGTGAACAACCATTCATCATGTTAGGCGAAAATTTAGGGTCTTCTTGGTGACGATAAATATCGTGTTTTCCTTAATCTGACAGACGATAATATGACAATGTACCAACAATGAAATGAACGGTTTTGAAACTCACTCACTTTAGCTTCGTAAGGATAATCGGCTTCGGAATCAATTCCTCCTTCTTTGTGGATGCATTTAAAGGCAGCATCTATTATACCTCCTTCACAACCATGAGTTCCTGCAACATTTAAAGAAATATTTAAACAAACAACTAAAGGACAATAATCCAAATCGGCTCATTAGTTCAAGGAAATTTTACAAGAGATTTTTCAGAAAAAAAAATCGCATAAATAGAAAAATAGCTTCAAACTTACCGCAAAACCCAGCGCAGTCAATTAAATCTTGTTCAGACAAAGGCATCAATTTTCCTGTTTTCTTGAAAACCTGGCCTTCAAGAGATCCAGTCGCCGAGAAAGCCCAACAAGAGCCGCAACTTGCCTAGATAGTGATAATAACTTCATTTTCAGTGACCATACAACCAAAAATGTCTGTAAAATTCAAGTTCCCATATACGTTATATTTGTTACTACGCAAAGATAATACAGTTTGAGAATTCTTCATTCGAAATTCTTGGGACCGGAAGTGCTTCGGTTTTCAGATTTGTTTTTTTGTATTTTGGTATACAGGCTATTTAATTTGTATATTGCATCTACGATATCTCTTTATATTTCATAACACAGGTTGTACATATGCCTTGAAGGTAGAGTTATAACAGAATTATTAAATTTTGTGTACATATAGATACAGTTAATGGCGCTAAATCACACTGGTTTTTAAGTGGTGAAATTAAGATTTTCACGTGAAAATAATGTTTTTACTTTTCATGTGTACAAAATAGTGACAAGCATAAATGTTTTCTTTTCTTCTTCTTTTCACTATCCACATGGGTATCTGCAGGAATTTTTTTTTACATTTTGAATATCTTTACTGAGTATGAAACACCTGATAATAAATACACGAATGAAGATATTCCTGTAACGATTACTAACAAAAAGCTGGTGCCAACGTAGCCTACGTAGCTGGACTGGGGAACCACCACACAGATGAGGTCACTTACAACATCTGCACGTCACCTAGGAACATTCCAACTGCTTTCTGAAATTTCCCATTTGTGGCAAATCATGTCAGTACGTGAAAAACTTACGGAATTTGGAACTTTCGGATAGAGGATACTGAACCTGTGCTATAATATTTGGCATATAATAAAATAAAGTGTCTGTCTCTTTTTCCGTCTGTCTCTTTTTCCGTCTGTCTCTTTTTCCGTCTGTCTTTCCGTTATAGACTGAGAAACTACGAACCAGGGACTGTCATGAAAAACTGACCTAAGTAAAACCTGAAGGTAATGAAAGGTAAAAATAATTAAGACAATGAAGCCATTTCTTATGGAAGTTAAATATTCATTCCCATATAAAAATATATTGGTAAGGGAGGTAAATCAACTTTTAGCAGTAATTTGGTAAATTCATAAATGGACAAGATGAACTCTGATGACACCAACCTTTTTATTACCCAATTACGAATGTCAATTTCATAATTACTACTAATCTATTAAAACAAATAATTAAATATCAGACATAAATATTACTGCATCTGCCTTATTCGAATGTGATGTTTGAAATAACGATGTTTGAAATAATGATGTTTGAAATGGACGAAATTGGAAGATGACGAGAAATGATATTTCGCTGTTAACTGATGCCAAAGCAAACAACATGTCGGATACACAGTTCTGAATATTCTGGCATTGATACGATAATTATGATTTTTACGTAATTATTGGTATATTCTCCTTTTTGATGGTCAATCAATAAATCATTAATTAACTTGTTAACGTTTCACATATCAGCAGTTTTTTAGGCTGAATCTTAAATAATTTCTGTTTGTATCTATAAACTTTATCTTCAGAAAATAAAGTGCAATTACGTTTTATTCAATTATATATTCCCCATTATTTGCAGTGAATTGTTAACACTTATCAGGCAAATTTTCAATACATTTCGAGTAAAATTCCGTTGGTTTTGATGTGAAAACTTTTTCGATGAAATCTTGAACCTGGTTTTCGTTAGAGAAAGCTTTCCCCCATTAAAGTGTTTTGCAGTGATTAAAAAAGGTAAAAGTTCAGGGGAATATGGCGGATGGAGTAGAACAGACCAACCGCGTTAGATTTTTTATTATGTTATTCTTATTGTATGCGACCATGCTTTATCATTGAGGAGAAATATTTTTTCTTTTGATTTACGATAGGCGCTGACACTACTGTGCAAAACAATAATAGTCCAAAGTTATTCCTGTCACGTACGATTAATAGTTAGAATAATACATTCATCGTTGCTGAAAAGGAAATTTACTTATGAGTCAACTTAATAAGATGGAAACCAAAATGCAAAGATATTTACCTGGTTTTTAACTGCTGTTACATAGCCTTTCTTTCTCCAGTCTATTTCCCTCGGAAGGTTCCGGACATCTTCGTTCACAAACATCACTGAGGCATTATGCTTTTCTTGATCACGGTAACGGAAACCGTTCATAACTTTCTTGAATTCCTCGTGAGTCTGTAAGAAAAAGTCTGTCTGCTTATTTGTAAAAAGGTTCACTTTTATTCATTACAACGTTAAGGGCAAACGGATTTCTCTGCATCTGTAGGGATGCAGAAGGTGATTGTTTCATTTTGTTTACAGGACGAATTTCCTAAGTGACTCCGATGGTCACGCGACAGCACGTGGTTTGACGGTAGTCAGTTCATGATTCAGCTTACGAGGGAAACAGAGACGCTAGCCAATTCCCGCTTCAACATCGGGAGAGACAAATAAGATAACCAACGGCTGCTTCGAGAACAAGTGACATCCATGCGTTCTCCATAATGAACCTAAAATATATCACCCGGGATGGCTGTATCCCCACCCCTAAGGGCTATTATAATATTGGTTCTTTCATATAATGATTACTTTTTTCATATTTTTTAAAATCAATTCAGTCTAAGCAAGGCGATAATGTCACTAAGACACAAGGAGCTACTGAGAGTGAAAGAGAATGAAAAGATTTTAGAAGGAGCCGGAAACCGAATCCTAAACAGGAAGCAAAGGATACACCTGTTCAAAAGGCCTGGGCGGGATATATAGAGAACTAGGGCTGCCCGGACGTTTAGTTCCCCATCTCGGCATTGCTTAGGAGGGGATAAACCAATAGAGTTTGGTACCAGCGCGACTGCAGGAGATGCCGGAAGGTAGCACAAAGTGCCGTCCATCCGCCTTAGGGGCCCCACCCCGGGTTTGAATACAGAGTTGTCCATCTCCTAGACCAGTTGCCATCAAAGGTTATAGAACCGAGTCTGTCCTGCTATTTACCCATAGAGGGAAAAGAGGATTCACACCTTTCCCACGTAAGTGAATGTAATGGATTCGGCTGGAATCCAAGCTGCTATCCATTACTCCACCGTGCCTCCTATTAAAATATGTGTTATAATTTCTCCATACGCGACAAATTGTGATAAATACATATATATTTTTGTATAACATATTGTATGGCATATTTATATATTCTAGTGATGTGCATAAAGTGTTTGTAGGTACAATCGTTTTTTGGAATTTCTTTGAGTTATTCTATTCCATCCTTCTTTGGTGTTGTATATCCCGGATATAGCAATGTCTAATATTGGCCTTGGAGAGCGGAGAAAACCAAAATATTTCTTCTTTGTTAACAAGCACCGCATTAAGTTTTCGTAGTAAAAAAATACAGAATCTCATCACGTTATTAACATTGAAATAGTGCTGATCACGTGATTTATAATTATCATTCATGATAACCTACATGGTTAGGTTACATGATTAAATTACCGACATATGAATTCTAATCAGGTTATTTAATGTTGATTGATTCATTTCTTCTTTTAAGGCTTATCAACACTTTGCAGGTTATTTAATGCCAGAAAATATTTTTTTAGATTGTAAGAATTTTTTTGAGATTATAATGATTTTTACTGATACAAGTTCTACTAATTAATCCACAGCTGGGGGGAAGCGGTGAATTCATATCTTTCTCAACGATATTTGCGCGTGTCAATATAACGGACCCAAACAGAATTGGAATTTGGCACTACGAATTCCAATTCCGAGTCATTATCCATTACACCAGCCGCACATCTAAGATTACAGCACCTTGTATTCTCAAGTGGTCACCCGTCTAGGTACTGACCAGGCTCGACGTGACTTAACTTCGGTGACTGTGTGAGAACCAATGTTTCAAAGTGGTATACCCGTAAGCCATGCTACACGTACACCTTAGCTTACAGCACCTTGTATTCCCAAGCGGTCACCCGTCTAGGTACTGATCAGGCTCGACGTGACTTAAATTCAGTCATTGGACAAAAACCAATGTTGCAACGTGATATGGCCATAAGCTAGCCGACATGGGCAACGTAACTGAAAATAATATTCTGTAAATGACGCCATCTCTTCTGGATGTATTAACATTTTCTGTTACTTATAGATTAATATAGACCAACAAGAGGTGTCGATATTTACTTACCATATCAGAGTATTCGTTGATGCCCATCCGATAGGAGTGTTTAGCCATGTCACTTTTATTGTTGTATTCCTCGATAAGATGGAAATTTTTCTCCCATTTCATTCGCCTGATAAATAAGACAAATTCTCTTTATTTTGATGAAAGTAATTTGAAAGGATTTTTAAACTAATACAGGTATCTAAATTTTTTATACCAAAATTTTTATTTTTGTTTTCGAAAGTGCCACTTGAAAAAATTGTTAATAATTTATGATGATCTTTTGTAAAAAAAAAAAAAAAAATTAAACAAAACTGTTTAAGCTTTTCATGAAACGAACAAAACTCTGTCATCACTTGTTCAAATAAAACAATTTAATTTTTTTTGCCAAATCATGTAAAACTGAGTACCAGAAGTGGGGCCCTATTTCAAATCTTGTTGTTTCACAGGGAACGACATATTTTAGTTTCGGATTTTTGTTTACGGTAGTTCTTTTTATGAGATATTCACCAAGAAAATATAACTTTGGAGTCTTTAATATTCTTTAATATTTTTAGCTTAAAAATTAAATTTATATTCTTCGCTATGAAATTTTATTTCGTAAAAACAAAATCACCAATAATCAACTTTTCTTGTGTAATTTGTATTTCTGTTTCTTACAAATGAAAGAAATGTTTTAATTTTTACCACGCTTCATATAGTGCAATGTTACATTTTGATTTTACTTGATTTTAAGAAATAATTTATGAATCCGATTTTTTGTAGTCTTTACAAATGTTACAACGTCTCTTTAAAGAAAGTTAATTTTAATAATGTTTTTTATGTTTAACTTTTAACAAACTTTTCTTACGAAGACTTCGATTACGATTTACACTGTAAAATTAATTTAAAAAATGCCATTATTTGTCTTATCAAGTTAAGTTTCATATTTTTTTATTCGTAACAAGAAATATATTCACTATAAACTTATTTTTTTTATTTATGAGTAATTTGTGTTTTTCTTTCTAAAAGTTATTTTTAAAAAAATATGTTGAATTTTATTTTAATTTACCAATAAAACACATTTAAAATTGTAATATTTTTATACAACAAAATTAATGGAAAAGTTATTTCATAAGAATCGTGTTATGTAAAGTTAATGCCATTGTAGCAAAAACAGAACCAGTGAATAAACTTATACCAAAGCTTTATTGCACTTTATTCCGACTACTCGTCTCACTGACGGATATTACACGGTGTTTTTTATACTGTGATGCATGTTCTTAGCTCATATATCTATTGTACATTTAACGATTCAAGAAAAAAGAACGAAACTCCATATGTGGATCAACAAATAAATATATATTGAAATATAACATACAAAACAATCATGCAATGAAGTGTAATGATTAAGGAGAAAAAAGTTGTTCCCCTTCAACTGTATTCTGATTTACGATTGAATGTTCGAAAGAGTTTCTCTTGAATGAGAATGTTCAGGATTCTATGTTGAATAGAGCCTGCTGTTAGAATAGAATACAGTTAATTAAGAAATGTGTTGTTTAGAGAAATTAATAGTGTGCTGGTTCATGAACTTGGCTGAGTCACAGAGAGAGATATGTATAATGTGTTACAAAAATCTGTGTCTGTGTGTGCGTTTGAAACGTTGTGAGTAAAGTCGTAGATTTGTGTGGACAGGCGAAAATAGCTGGACTTATACTGGCGGCTTGTGGCAAAATTGCTTTTTTTTTAAAGGTACCGATAGGCTCCGAGCGAAAACGCGGGAAAAATTGATTTAGTATTAAAATGTTTGATTGGTTAACATTTGACCAATTACTGATTTTGTATCAAAGAAACATGTGAGCAAGTTCACGACCGAAAAATTCAAAGTGATGACTGCGATTGCTAAATTGTCTTATAGAAAAACAGTATTGATTTACTAACCATTCACAGACGAATAAATTCTGGACGTGGAAAAGCATAGCAGTCGCTACAATACCACCTAGATCTTCAGGGGAGGTAACTGATGATTTATTAGTACAGCCATATAATTAAATTCAATAAATCTAATTCAATATTTTAGATATTGTAAACGATTTATATGAAACATTAACCCTAAACCTGCTGCTAAGCCCCAATATTTTTAAGTATAAGTTTTCAAGCTTTCT